AACAAAGCAATCAAAAAATGTTACATATGCAGCTTGTTTCTTACCAGTTTGGCCAATGTTGGCCTGTTGGTTTAGTGGATACCCTGCATCCTGGCAATGGTCTCCTATTCCTTGTGTGGTCTTCCTCTTCCTTGAGTGGTCATCCTCTTCCTTGTGTGGTCCTCTCCTCCTTGTGTGGTCCTCTTCTTCTTTGTGTAGTCTTCTTCTTTGTATGGTCCTCCTCTTCCTTGTGTGGTCCTCTTCTTCATTGTGCGATCTTCTTCTTCAGTGTATGATCCTATTCTTCATTGATTGGTTGTCCTCAATTTGGCATCTGTCCATACCTGCTGTCACCTGAAAAATTTCCCGGAAACAGTTTAATTAAGCTCTTAGTACTTTAGTTGTATGATTCTGAGATTTTAGATCAAAGGAGGCTCATTCTACATCAGTTCAGATGAGCACATAAAATGGACCCCATGTGTGAAAGAGCACAAACTATGGATTCAGTACATTTAATTTGTATCTTACCTTTTCTTCTGGCTGCTGTGGATCTTGGTTCCCTGGACTCCTCGTTGTGAATGATGGCAGTGTCCTCTACCATGTGATCAAAGCTTTTCTAACCATTATTCTGTTAATATACTGAGACCAGAGGTCAAATGTGTGTCCTAATTGGACTGACAAAGAATAAAACATAGCAATCAAAAAATGTTACATATGCAGCTTGCTTCTTACCACTTTGGCCAATGTTGGCCTGTTGGTTTAGTGGATACCCTGTATCCTGGCAATGGTCTCCTCTACCTTGTGTGGTCCTCCTCTTCCTTGTGTGGTCCTCTTCTTCCTTGAGCAGTCCTCTCCTCTTCATGTGGTCCTCTTCTTTTCTGTGTAGTCGTCTTCTTCTCTGTGTAGTCTTCTTCTTCTCTGTGTGGTCCTCTTCTTTATGTTGTCCTCTTCTTCACTGCGTGCTCCTTCATGTTCATATGCAGCTTGTTTCTTACCACTTTGGTCAATGTTGGCTTGTCAACATAGTGGATACCCTGTATTTTGGTAATGGACTCCTCATCATTGTGTGGTCGTCCACAATTTGGCATCTATCTATACCTGCTGTCATCTAAAAGTTTAGTTACAGTTTATTTTAGCTTGGTTAGATACTGAAATTCAAGATCAAAGAGAGCTCAGTTTACAACAGTTAAGATTAGCAGAAGAAATGGAATCAGTGATATGTACTTTACCCTTTATTCAGTGGTTGGCTTCAGTTGATCCCAACTCCCTGGACTCTTCTTCACAAGTAGTGTTGTCTTTTTTGTATCGGGATTGAGAATAACTATAATTCTGTTAACATACAGAGTCAAGAGTCAAACTAGTACTAGTACCAGTCTTAAATAAAGTGAAAATATAAAATCAAAATCTAAATTGCAAAAAACGCTGCCCGTTTCTTACCACTTTGGCCAATGTTGACATAGTGGATACCCTGTGTCCTGGCAGTGGTCTCCTCTTCCTTGTGTTGTATCTGCTGCCATCTGTCCATCCCTCCTTGTGCCCTTAATAATGGTAAAAACTGACACAGGATTAATACAGTTCCAAAACAATGGAAAAAGTACCTTTTAATCACCATTCTTAAACAAAAACATGTGAAAATTACATATTTAGGAAAGACACAAACATTTATAAATGAAAAAAGCAAAAAGGTTTATGTTAGTAATGTAAGTAAGAAAGGGAAGGGGAAGGGACAGGAAACAAAAAATACATGCAAAGGAAAAAAATACAGCTCACCTTGTCTCTCTGGCTTATAAGATCAAAATACAACCTTTTCTTGGGCTCATTGCATACCACTGGCTCCATTCTGTCTAAATTACATTTGTAAAATGTTTAAATAAACAAATAAATCTAACTTCTAAAATAAAATGTTTCATAGTACTTTATACGTTAAACACAGAACAAATGAAATTTATTTTGTGTTTATTCTAACCTAATTAACTAACACATACATTAACTTATACACTTTATATGTAAAGAATTACTGTTAACCAACTTTTATTCGCGTGCAAGAAATATTCACAAGTTTCGCGACCTTTAACTCGCAAATATTAATTGCCGCAAACCATTTAATTTGGTTTGTATTTGTAGAGAATGTTCCCTCAGTCGGGAAAATTAATTGTCATGGATTGATTTCAAACTGACGAGTCGCGAATAAAAATTGATGCGAATAATAGTTGGTTTACAGTACATCATCATAGGCTGTTCTTTGGCAGTTGAAATAGGAATATTTCGTCTCAAAATTGGGAAAAATTAACTCTTTGGCATTGGGAATGGTACAATTTATCAATACCAGTTCTTAGCAATTCTTGAAAAAACTTAACAAGATAAATATTAATGAAATTTTCAAATGGATTAATGCTAAATCAGATATGTTTATTATCACTATTATTGATGAATGCATGTATTGTTGAATAGTAAACATCATGGGGACTTTGCGGTTTGAATGTAACATGATGTTTAACCCAATAAATTTTCAACAACCTTCTCAGAAAAAAAGCAGTTTACTTGTCATTGATTGACCCTCCTTGAAATGATATTAAGGACACATTTGCAATGTAGTTTTGGACTTTATTTTCTTATTCCCTGTGTTGTTAAAGAGTTGCAATAATTGAAAGACCTTTGTAACATTTTATGATGCCTGGAAATTTTGAACAACTCATCTGAATCAAATTTTTTAGGAAATATACCAGTTAAAAGTATAATTTTGTTTGTTTTTTTTTTTATTAAAAAAATTTAAAAAACAGGATTTTCATCACTGATATCTGTTCAAAACTCCTGTTAATGTATGGTGATTTTTTTTTTGTCTAAGAACATCTAATGCTACCATGATTTTAAATTGAAAATGTCTTGGAAAATTATCAGTGGGAAAGGTACATTGAAAGTACATGTACTTTTTGTATGACCTTAAATTGAATACATATGGGTATCAGATTGCTTTTCACATATATATTTTAAAAAAAGATTTTTTTACGCTTAATTACCAAGTAAAATGTCTCTATGTCTGAGTAACCAAATAGCAGTTTTACTAAATGATACTTATACATCGATGTTTGACACTGGTTAACTAAGTACTCAGTGACAACACTAGTACTAAGACTTAGTCAAATGGCAAAGAAAAACAAACTTTCAGAGAGTCAAAAAAGAAGAGTTTGCACCTTACCTTCACTTCTAGGTAAAAGTAAAGTCTGTCCTTGATCTTGGTTCTCTGGTTTACGCATAACTGACATCTCTAAAACCCGGGAACCAGGCAAGCCTAACCTTTTTCCTGTCAACACAAGATATGGAGTGGTCAACAAAACAGAAAGTTAAAATTATCAGACTTCATCTAATGAAAGTTCTGAAATCTCTCAAAGTGAATGGAGTAGAGCATGTACCTTATCCTCCTCTATAAGGAAGCTTGCAGTCAATCAATACTCGTAACTCTTCTATAACATGAGGATCTACTCTTGAACATACATTGTAGGATCTAGGGTTGCCTGTTAACAATGTAATTAGAAAATGTTATTTTAATCAAGTAATGAAAAAGAGTGATGCAACTGAAATACTAAAAGAAGTGCAGCTTTTGCCTTACCTGTAGGATTTGCATCAGTCAATTTCAGCTCTACGTACTCTTGCTGGCAAGTGATGCACTCTGCTTAATCTTAGGATGGGTATTGTCTCTGAATGCTTCTGCAAAATACAAATTTAAGATCAAGAGAGGTTCATATTTACATCAAGTATGAAAGCACACAATAAATGGAGTCTGTACAAGGAGAAAGAGTAGGTCTTTGTATCTTACCCTTTCTTCTATGGTTGGCTGCAGTTGATCCTTGTTTCCTTGACTCATTGTGACAATTAATTGAGTCTTTTTTGTAGGATCAAGGCTTGTCAAGTCAATAATCTGTTAACATAGAAATTCAAGGGGTCAAAAGAGTCCCTTTTCTGATTCAACAGAAATCCAAAATGCAATAAATATAGCTGGTTTTTTACCACTTTGGCCAATGTTGGCCTGTTGACATTGTGGATACCCTGTATCCTGGCAATGGTCTCCTCCTCAGTGTGTTAATTGGTGGTTGCCATCTGTCCATCCCTCCTCTGTACCCCTAGCAATGAAAGAAACTGACAAAAGATTAGTACAGTTCTAAAGCAATGAAAGAGAAAGGACAAAAGATTATACCTATTTAAGGCTGCTTGGCAAAGGTTCCACATTCTGCTGCTTCAGACAGGCATTCTGTCAATTGAAATTCAAGAGGTTAAAGTGGGACTCAGTCTAGATAATTTTGAAAACAATGTAAAAATTAGAGGTACTGTGAACGTGGAGCTCATAAAATGGTACAACCTCTCTTATATGTGTACTATGGCAAATTCCATGTTTTGCTATGGAAATCCCCTATTAATTGCACAACCAAAATGTAAAATAGTCTTTAAAATAATCTATAAAATAAAGATTCTGTGGAAGTCTCAAATTTTATTCAATGGTTATAGGTAGAGTTGTGAATAAGGGATGGGTACTCCAAATATTAAAGATAGAAAAGCAGTGTCCACAATTACATATGGGAAACCCAATTATGTGTCAAATCAAAGGCATAAGTGCACTTTGTAATAAAAGACTATCTAAAAGTCTGATTGAATTTTATTCAGTGGTTATTGGAGAAGTTGCAAATAAGAGATAGCTTCCTCAAAATGTAATGGATAGACAAAAGGAAGGACAGGCAACCCTGCAATTCAGATAACCCTCACTTTTCAAGCCGGGGGTGGGGGTGGGGTGGGGGGTATAATAAGGAATTTGTGTTAGAAGAAAAGAGAGAACCTTACCGCATCTTTCAAGGTAGGCCTCAGTTTATGGTGTGACTGTTCTTCACTGCAGGGTCAAGGCAATCCAACCTCTCCCCCTGCTAAGGCAGAACAATAAATGCTTATATTACTGCAACTATTTCTTATGAACACAATGTAAAAGAAATTAAGGAAGAGATAAACAAGACGTAAACTATGTATATTACCCTAGCATGGTTGGTTGTTGCAGTGGATCCTTCTGGTCTGGACTCTCTTTCTGTCTAACTGGCTAATTTAAAACTGGTGATGGAGGACAATCTAATACTCTAAAAAAAAATAAATGAAGGTCAATAAAAGAAAGAAAGATTTCAGCAAATGAAAAAAAAGATATAAAATCCCACACACAAACAGGTTGTTTTTCAAACACAGATGCCCAGTCCATGATAAATTATTTAAATGTTGGTACCCCCTAAAAGACCTTAACAAGGAGTGCACATAAAAAAAGAAAGCCCTTGCACCAGCTGTTCAGTTGTTATGGCTAATATTTAAGCTTTTCAAAAGAAAATCAAATCCAAGGTCATGATATCTAAAATAATTCAAAGGTCAAAATCATGAGGTAAAAATGTAGGCCATCAGAGAAAGGGATTTTGTCACAAGAAAAACAAATGTGAAATATGGTAGCTGTTGAAGCAATCATTCAGGTGTTATGGACAAGATTAAAGTTTTTCAAAAGTAAGCCACTCTTGGTCAAGAGGTCAAAAATATTGATATCCTAAGAAAGGGCTTGTCACAAGAAATATGAAATGTGAAAGCCCTAACACATACTTCTCAAAGTTAGGGTCAAGGTTAAAGTTTCTGCAGACAAACAAACAGACAGATGGACAGACAAAAAAGTGATTTGCCCTGAATCTCAGATTATGGGGACCTTAACAGAGAAGATTTGTGTCTTACCCTCACTTCTAGGTTAGGCCACTGTTCATCCTTACTCCTGGCACTCTAGTTGAATCATGACAGTCTGCTCTGAAACATGGTTTCCAGTCTAACTCTCTACCTGTTCAAACAGAATGTGAAGAGGTAAACTCAGACTTCATCAAGTGAAAAAGTTCTTGAATCTCTCAGAGTGTATGGAGTAAAGATTGTGACTTAACCCTTTTTAGATCTCTGTACTCTTGCTTACACTCATCTCAATCTTAGGATTGGCTATCACTTCTGTAGGATTAAGTGCTGCTTGTCCCTGCTTCTGTAGGATTAAGTTCTGCTTGTCCCTGCTTTTGTAGGATTATGGTACTGCTTGTCCCGGCTTCTGTAGGATTATGGTACTGCTTGTCCCTGCTTCTGTAAGATTAAATACTGCTTGTCCCTGCATCTGTAAGATAAAATACTGCTTGCCCCTGCTTCTGTAAGGTTGGCTACTGCTTGTCCCTGCATCTGCAAGACTAAATACTGCTTGTCCCTGCATTTGTAAGATTGAATAATACTTGTCCCTGCATCTGTAAGATTAAATATTTCTTGTCCCTGCTTCTGTGAGATAAAATACTTCTTGTCCCTACTTCTGTAAGATTAAATACTGATTGTCCATGCATCTGTAAGATTGGCTACTGCTTGTCCCTGCTTCTGTAAGATTGGCTACTGCTTGCCCCTGCATCTGAAAGATTGGATGTTGCTTGCCCCCTGCATCTGAAAGATTGGCTACTGCTTGTCCCTGTATCTGTAGGATTAAATACTGATTGTCCATGCATCTGTAAGATTGGTTACTGCTTGTCCATGCATCTGTAAGATTGGTTACTGCTTGTCCCTGCATCTGTAAGATTAAATACTGCTTGTCCATGCATCTGTAAGATAAAATACTGCTTGTCCCTGGTTCTGTAAGGTTGGCTACTGCTTGTCCCTGCATCTATAAGATTAAATACTACTTGTCTCTGCATTTGTAAGATTAAATTATGCTTGTCCCTGCATCTGTAGGATTAAATACTGCTTGTCCCTGCATTTGTAAGATTAATTACTGCTTGTCCCTGCATCTATAAGATTAAATACTGCTTGTCTCTGCATTTGTAAGATTAAATACTGCTTGTCCCTGCATCTGTAGGATTAAATACTGCTTGTCCCTGCATCTGTAAGATTAATTACTGCTTGCCCCTGCTTCTGTAAGGTTGGCTACTGCTTGCCCCTGCATCTGAAAGATTGGTTATTGCCTGTCCATGCATCTGTAAGATTAAATACTGCTTGTCCATGCATCTGTAGGATTAAATACTGCTTGTCCCTGCTTCTGTAAGGTTGGCTGCTGCTTGCCCCTGCATCTGAAACATTGGCTATTGCTTGTCCATGCATCTGTAAGATTAAATACTGCTTGTCCATGCATCTGTAGGATTAAATACTGCTTGTCCCTGCATCTGTAAGATTAATTACTGCTTGTCCCTGCTTCTGTAAGGTTGGCTGCTGCTTGCCCCTGCATCTGAAACATTGGCTACTGCTTGTCCCTGCATCTGTAAGATTAAATACTGCTTGTCCCTGCTTCTGTAAGATTAAATACTGCTTGTCCCTGCTTCCATAGAATTGGGTGCTGCTTGTCTTTGCATCTGTAAGATAAAATACTGCTTGTCCCTGCATCTGTAAGATAAAATACTGCTTGTTCCTGCTTCTGTAGCATTAAATACTGCTTGTCCATGCATCTATAGGATTAAATACATATATATACATATACATACATATATATATATATATATATATATATATATATATATATATATATATATATATATATATATATATATATATATATATATATATATATAGAAATATACAGTCAAACCTCATAATCTCGAACTCAAAGGGACCATGAAAAATTTCAAAACATCTTAGGATTCTAAATATCCAGGGTAAAATACTAAAAGAATAGGGTAAAGACTTATAAATCACTTAAATATATCCATGATTTTTAAGATATCAATGTTCGAGATACCAAAGTTCAACTGTATATTTAACTTTTTTTTGTATTTTTTTTTTTTTTTTTGTATTTTTTTTGTATTTTTTTTGTATTTTTTTTTTTTTTTTTTTTGTATTTTTTTTTTTTTTTTTTTGTATTTTTTTTTTTTGGCATACATATATACATATTTTTTAAATATTTTCTTTATGTATAAGATGAACCCCAACACCATGATGTTGTATATACAACTAAACATCAATGAGTTGGTGCCCATCTCAAAGGGCCTCGCTCTTACTAAAGGATATCAAGACGAAAGGGCATTGCAAAGGACCTTGACATTTGACTTGCACTTTCAATCCAATGGCATTCTGGAAGATGTATGAGATTAAGCTCAAGGAAACACAAAACAATGATCATGATAATAATTTCACACAGATGTCTACTATGACCTTGAAACCTGACCAAAACTTGGTTTAAAGCTAAAGTACACCACTAAACAAATTGGAATTCTATGGGTTACTGAGTAAATATGAGCTGAATAGAGCCAAGGCTTGTTATAAAATAACACAAACCTCGTTGGATAAAAATCATATCCAACCATAAACCCTGGGAGATTTTATTATGTAAACAGAAATGTTGTTTACCACTGATCTTTGGTTTTAGAACTCTGCAAAGGGGAGAGAAATGTGCTCACTATGATAAAGATGACAAGACCTCGACTTCTGACCTAGAAGCTGTTCGTTACTTCACATCCTTTACCACTTGGCACTATATATAGGTGAAGTATAAGCCAGAAAGGGCTACAATGAGAGAAAATATGCTCCAGATAAGGATTACATGCAGATGTGGTTTTTACTTTGACCTTTTACTTAGAAAACTGGTTCAAGGTTACTGCAGTTTAAACCAGATTGAGCCAAGGGGTGAGAATGTATTCTGGATAAACAATATCAGATAGACAGACAGACAGACAGACAGACAGACTGATCATTGTCATGGCGGGCCCTAAATATTGAAAACAAAACCACTTACTTTACATCTACGTCTGGACAGAGATGCTGAGGTGAGGCGAGGGTTGTGGTGGATGTACAAACAGATGTGTGTGCAGATGAGACAGTCAAACATTAACTTAACAATATTGAAAACAATAAACATTGGAATTCACACGCTGAACAATATACAAATACATGGAAAATACAAAAAAAAATGCACTTATCAAAAAGGACATATACCAAAAATTGTAGAACACAGTACAATATATGCTATAATTCAAATACTGCATAGAGGATTCTTTTTTATGAAAAAAAGAAAGCACCTAAATCTTATCTTTCTCCTGATCACATCTAAAATGTAGGTTAAATGCAGCATTCAATGACTATGCAGCAGATGCAACATTGTAAGTGGCAGCATGAGAGCCAGGAGACTATGCCAAAAATAGGCAATGTAGGTCAGATGCAGCATCCAAAGTAAGAATCAAAGTCAGCATCCAAAGATATACGATAAAGAACAAGATCAGTTTGGAACTAAATCTAAATAATGAAAACAATCTGAGCCAATTAATCAAGAATGTAAGTCAGACGCAGCATCAGAGAAAGCATCTATAGAAGCATCAAGTGCAAATTTGGTTTAATTACTGCTTGTGAGAAGCTGAGGATAAGTCTAAATCATAAGTTCATTAACCCAAGTAACTAAAGCATAAAAATACAGTTCATATGCATTAGCAAAGATATGCATCAAATGAACGGTTGATATGGTCTCAGAATGAGACAGACAGACAGACATAGTGATAATAATATTATACATCAATACATTAATACAGTAAAACTCGGTTTTAGCGAAGTTCTGGGGACCTGCGAATTTACTTCACTATATCCATAATTTGTTATATCCGTATAACAAAGTATTTAAAGTATACAAAACGAGTTCGCAATACAGATTTTTTTCATTTAAGTATGTTTACCAAATGTATTTAACTTCCAGGAGACACAAAATCAGTTCATTATAACCGTAAATTTGCTATATCCGAGTTCGTTATATTTGTACAATTTAAGAAGAAATTGTTATGAATTTCGCCGGGAATTAAAAAAAAAAATGCTATATCCGTAAATTCATTATATTGGATATAATGAATTTATCCGTGTTTGTACTAAACGAGTTTAACTGTACTAGTGTTGAACAACATGGAAACTTTCAAAATTTATCATCACTTATAATCAGTAGCTTTAAATTGATCAAGGATACAAATTGTCAGAGCTTTCAAAAAAAAATTCATGGCTAGCAGATGCCGTGTCAGGAAATTGAAGGTACGGTTTGTGTCCAATTTGTTTTGGGGAAAAAATGAACAAAACAATGCATACAGAAATGTTCATTATGCAAAGCACACTACATTTCATTTTCTCAGCAATGGAATTCATAAAATTCCTAAAGAAAGATTTGAATCGGTAAGCGTATGTCGATGGTCAACCAATTATCAGTGACAATCTTTTCATTACTTATCATAACTTAATACATTGAATAAATCAACCACGAAGTATAATTAAACAAATAGTTATACCTCAGAGAAGGAACCTATAATTAAAGATAAGTAAATAAATAGTGAAAAGAAATGGATCCCCACCTTCAAACATATAAACATTAAACTTTTACAGTAATCTTACTCCTAATGGAAAGATTTTATAAGGGAAATTTGATTACGAAATTTATTTCCTGAAATTGATACTGTTGTTTTAGACTGTATTTACAGAGAGAAGAAAAATGTCCTTTTTATTTTTACAAAAATGAACCTCTGAGCTTACTGACAAATTACAGTAAACAGTAATGGGGTGGAAAACTGAAATTACCCATGTATTTACCGATTACAAAGTACTAATAATTACTTCAATCTTAGAAAAATAAATAATAAAGTGAAATAATCTCAGTAAAGCAATAAATAATCAAATTTTAAATTTTAACTGAGCTCGCACAATCTTGGGGATAAGAAAGGGAAATTTATAAGCTATGAATTATTTATGAAGTTTAGAATACAGGAAATCCATGAGATATACAAATTCACACAAACGCAATACTATAATATATCTATATATACATTACAAATCAATAAAATTTTAACTTTAACATTGATCACAGACACATCAGGGACATCTCAAGGTCATAACTAAAAATTACAGGTAAATGAATTAAAGGTAAATTAATGGAAATTACACACATCACAGTAGTAAGCCTAAATTAATAGTTTAATGTCTAATTCATATCCCCAAAAATTATTTTTGAAAATAAAGAAATATTAAATTGAGAACAAATTAGAAATTAGATTTGAATAATTAATGTAACAAATTTAAATTACTCTCATGAATGCAGTGGCTAAATAACGGTGTGTGCTTGAGTTGAGGTATTTAACCACTAGCCTTCATGAGAAAATCGGAGAGAGAAAGGGGCTTCATTTTATCTTAATAATCAATTTAAGTATTAAATCTAAAAATTTTACAAAGGACTGAAATAAAAAAAGGTAAAATCAGAATACTTGACTTTAGTCTAATTATAAAACAGAGGAAAGAAGATAAGTTCTAACAATACGTTCTAATTAACCAAAATATTCAAGGGACAAAGGATTTATAAAGGATCCTTGAGATGCCCCCCCAAAATATACAATGTATTTATACTACAATGTAACCTAGATCTTCAAAAATATTTCCATGTGTTTAAAAAAATTAGCTTTTACTTCCTAAAAAGTAATCCCAATTACAACTATAGCATCCAAATTACAACTATAGCAGGGGTTCGAATCCCACTGTGGGACGTGGAGACTGGTCCTTCAGATGAGACCGTATAAACTGAGGTCCCATGTCACAGAAGGTGTTGGCACAGAAAAGGCCCCTCACTGCTCAAAGGCCCTAAGTGCCAATCAAGTATAGGTCAAAATTTGTAGCTCTCCACCAGCAAGTGGTGGCGTCTCCATATGAGTGAAAAATTCTCGAGGGATGTTAAACAATAAACAAACAACTATAGCAACTATAGCAGACCCGTGGAAAGGGGGGGGTTAGAAAAGATTATAAGTCCTACTTCATAAACCAAATAAATACTTAGGTTTACAATCAACAAGACCTATCTGAGACATACATAAAATGAATGCACAGTACAAATACAAAATATCAAACAAAATACTGAACCCATCATGCACACACAGGAAGTAATGAAAATGGAAAAGTGGAAAAGAAACCCTCTTTACAATGAAAGCTCTAGATTTTACTTCTTTTCAATAATTTAATGATTTCAATTTCTCTTTAGTGAAAATTTGAATAACTTTAACTTTAAAACCTGAAAAATTGAAATTGATGGAAAATAAATTTAACCCTATTTATCGATGAAAACAAGAAAGAAGGAATTAACACTTAGTCTTAAGAAATGAATATAAGCTTTTATTATAACTTTAATTAATGTCAATGCCTGTATGATGGTGATACTAAGGTCAACTTTAAATGAACACAAAATCCAAAGGGAGATTGTAAAAATTAACTAAACCATTCAGTTTAACTTGATCAGTCAACTTATTTTAGTTGTAGAAAAATTTAATCACTAGTTATTGTAATTTAGGAAAATTCATAATTTAATTAACCTCTTGTTTAATTTTTCCTAAGTTTTTAATTTTATTTTAGTTTTAGATTTGATTAAAATTAAAGAACAGGAGGAAAATGAAGCCCTTGGCACTATTTATTAACTAAATTAAACCTTAACATTTAGTTACTCTCCTGAATAACTACATCTAAATAACGGTGTGTGCTTTCATTGAGATATTTAGATGTAGTAACCAGGAGAAAATAAGGACAAATTTAAACTTATTTAAACTCAATATGGTCTTACAAAATTAGAATTTAAAAAAAGGGGGGTATATTTATGTTATTAACAAAAAGTTAATAATTCCTGAATTATTTATGTCTGAATGATATTGTGTATTGAGATTCCTAGATGGAAATTACAATATGACTTAGGAGAAAATCTAACTCAAATCTTACTCAAGTTTTATCCTTTAGATATTGAAATGAAAGGAGAAAATTTAATAATATTTATAGTGAAAAATTTAGGAAATTTAGGAAAAAAAATTACTCTTACTTAAATATAAACATTAGTTTTATACCTAACAGACTGAAGGGAAAGGGGGAGATTATTTAAAAAGAGGTGAGAATAGGGAAAAGAATACCAGTTACTAAAGAGACATCCACATTCCTAAACAAATGCTGCACCAATTCTCCTCCTAATGCTGCAAAGCCTCGCCTCACAGGTTCCCTCATGGGTGATGGCTGTTCAGGAGGGATCTCTGTCATCGGTGACCCAAGGCTAGAAAGCCGAGGATGACCCTCAACAACCTGGGAAGACGGCAGTTCCATCTCCTCAGTCTGCCCAGCCTCCTCCTCCACTGGAACCTGAGCAGGCTGAGGAGATGGCAGCGCCACCTCCACGGTCTGGTCAAGTTCTAGCCAAGGAAGGGCTATGACTGGCTGAGGGGACGGCAGACTCACTTCCTCAGGCTGAACAAGCTCTAGCTCAGGAGCTGCTATCACAGACTGGGGAGATGACACAGCCACCTCTACAGTCTGCTCAAGCTTCTCCTGAGATAGATCCTCTACAGCCTCAGGGAGTGGCAGTGCCGCCTTCTCAGGCTGCTGAAGAGCATCATCAACCTTCACCATCGGCTTCACCCTGGACCTTCGCACCTTAAAAGATAAAAAAGATCATATCAAAAACAAGAATAGAAATGATAAATATATATATATAACTAACCAGAAGTCTCATCCACAAAGAAGTCTGGTCACACGAAAAACACATGTGCAATATAGAAGCACCAACTGTTCAAAAGCTATAGCCAATGCTAAAGTTTGGTCAAAGAAACTGGGGATAAGCCGAGCCATAGGCCTACATAACAACAGATAAAAACACAGGTAATCAGAGATTACAGAGCTCACCTCAACGAATGTTGTCTTTAAGTAAGGCAAAGTCCCACACTAAGCTAATAATCTAGTAGTGTGCATCCCTAGATGCAACATTTATGCAAGTTTGGTCTGATAAGGCTTGCAGTTACTTGGGATTAATGGACTTATCTAAAAAAAATTTAAGCTAGTCACTCTTCCAGAAAATGCAAGTTAAACCCAGCATCTAAAGTAATTTGAGAGTGTTCATCCCTTGATACATCCATGCAAGTTTAGTTCAGATAGGCCTTATGAGACTTGCTGTAAAAACTTTACACTGGTCACTCATCTGGAAAATTAGATCAGATTCAGCATCCGAAGCAAGTCCAGTAGTGTGCATCCTTAGATGTATCATCCAATGCAAGTCTGGTCAATAGGGCATATTGTTACAATGTACTTGGAAATGAGATCTGCTCCAAAAACTTTAACCTGTTCACTCATCAGGAAAATGTAGGTCAGATCCAGCATTCAATAAGCAAGCCTGGTAGTGAACATTCTTAGATGTATCATCCATGCAAGTTTGGTCAATATAGGGCTTATAGTTACTTTGAAATGAGACTTGCACAAAGAACTTTAACCTGAACCAAAAACATTAACATGGTCATTCTTTAGCTGAAATTGCAGCATCTGAAACCTTGACTGGTACAATGAAACACACTAGTAGAATTTTCTATGCACCTCTGATTAATGCATGGCGTAGAAGTGCTTAAAAAGAAAACTGCACCAAAACTTTAATCTGGGACGAGGGTATAACATAAGCTCCCCCCTCCCAACTTTGTTTAGGTGAGCTAAAAATGTTTGAAATAGACAACATTATTTTTACATGCTGTTTGGGATTACTTACACATATCTAGAACAAGTGTCTGAATGGTAGTAGTTTGTAGTTAGTTTTGTTAGAATAGAAGGATTGATATAATATAATTTTGAAGATCAATTCCTGCAAAATCCCAATATTCCGCCTATCACAAGGACGTTGCACCAATAGATTTTGCATTGTTTCCATACCTGATCACTTAACTGCATAGAGAGTGCTTTTTCAGATCTCACAAATATCCAATATGTCACAAAAGGCATTTATTTTAAATAAGTAAAATGTCTTTCTAAAGTAATTTGTCAAATCCAGCATCTGGAGCAAGTTTGAGAGCGTTCATCCCTTGATGCATCATCCCTGCAAGTTTGATTCAGATAGACCTTATAGTTACTTGAAAACGAGATCTGCTCCAAAAACTTTAACCTGGTCACTCATTTGGAAAATATAGGTCAGATCCAGCATCTGAAGCAAGTTTAGTAGTGTGCATCCTTAGATGTATCATCCATGCAAGTTTGGTCAATATAGGGCTTATGGTTACTTGGAAATGAGATCTGCTCCAAAAACTTTAACTTGGTCACTCATTCAGAAAATATAGGTCAGATACAGCATCTGAAGCATTCGTTTAGTAGTGTGCATCCTTAGATGTATCATCCATGCAAGTTTGGTCAACATAGGACATTAAGTTACTTGGAAATGAAATCTGCTCCAAAAGCTTTCATCTGGTCACTCATCCAGAAATTTTGTAGATCAAATCTAGCATATCTGAAGCAAATTCAGTAGTGTGCATCCTTAGATGTATCATCCATGCAAGTTTGGTCAATATAGGGCCTATAGTTACTTGGAGAAAAGACCTGCTTCAAAAAGTTTAACCTGCTCCAAAAAGTTTAACCTGCTCCAAAAACATTAACATGGTCATTCCTTAGCTGAAATTGCAGCATCTGAAACCTTGACTGGTACAAGGACATATCTTAAGCATCCTCCATGCATCTCTGATTAATATAGGGCATAGAAGTACTTGAAAAGAAAACTGCTCCAAAAGCTTTAATCTGGGATGCTGACACCGACGCTGAGGGTATTACATAAGCTTCCCCAACTTCGTTGAGGTGAGCTAAAAATATGTTATGGACTTCGATGGTTTTTTTTTTAATGTTTTTGCTTGTCAGACTTTTTTCAGTGATGAAGAAAATATATAATCTCTTCTTAATCTTATTGGAAATAAAGAATCTGTCATTCACCGACATGAAAATAAATAATCTGACTTGGTAAAATTTGCCATCCCCCACCCCCCAAATCAAATGGTCACCACCTAACCATGCAATCATCTAGTTTATTCATCAGTGCGAATTATACAGGGGAGAAAAGAAGATTTTTAAAGAAATCATGAATTTTCACAGATCATTAAAGCCCCTCCCTTAACTTCAGAACCCATGACCCAGGGGCCATGAATTTTACAATTTTGGTAGAGGATTCAATGCTTATTACAAAAATGGGAACCGTTCAACAGCTTAAATTCCAGGAACAAAGAAGATTTTTAAAGATTACACTAATTTTGATGGTTTTAGCCCCACCCCTTAGGTCCAGGGAGGCAGGAACCATGATTTTCACAAATTTTGTTCCACTTTACTCATAGACGCTTTATGCCAAAATATGTTAAAATTATGGTTCAGTGGTTCCATAGAAGAAGCTGAAAATGTTCTAAATTAATGTTAATGGCTGACTAATGATGACAAACAAAAACAGATTACATTAATTATAGCAAAAAGGTCACCAGAGTGTCTCAGGAGGGGGGGGGGGGGGGCATATTTCAGAATAAATATTTCCAAACATGCTCATCACGGAGCCCCACCCTAATTACAAAATCCCTGTCTCAGGGGCCTTGAATTTCCCAATTTTGGAAGAACTCTTGTTTATCATAACCATGCACTTAGTCTGTATTTTAAATACTTAAGAGCATAGGGGATTTTCAATGAATGATTGCATTTTCAACCTATAATCAATACTAGATAGTTTTCGATAGGCCTGAATTTAGCAAGAGTTATTTCCCGTTGGCCGCCATATTGTAGGTCCAACTAGCGAATTTTCCTCTTTGAGCAACCAATTTTAAACTTGTATGGCAGAAATATATATAAGGGCCAAAATCTTTAAAATACCAAAATTACAAATTAAAGAAAGCTTGTGTTAACATGCATAAATTCATAAGAAAAATTGTGTTTTCTTTAACAAATTACCCAGTATGACAAGTTTAAATTGGCTGAATCATGAAGGAATTTGGGCTTGTATATACCCCCAATGTGGCGACCAACAGGAAATAACTTTTGCTAAAATTGTGTCTATCAAAAACTATAACTATAACCTAAGAGCTATAATTCTAACACCAAAGCCTGACTAAGTGCAAGAGGCCATGAAAATCACTGTTTTTGGAAGAAGCACCTTTGCTCATAATATCTATAGATTAAGTTTCCGTCTGGTAAATATACAGGGGGCAAAAACAAGACTTTTTAAATGAAATTTAATATAGATTTTTACTAAATGATCTCTATGTATTATTTTTCCTACTAGCTAGTTTGTATGATCAAAAATATAATCATTGACAAATCCATGATCAGATATATTGGAATAAACCTGCTAAAAAAGATTAACCAATAATTAAAGGTCACATAAACATCTGTATTACTTAACATGATTGAATTCATAGATCAGATCCTTTTATTTAACAGAATTAAATTCTTAAAGTACAAAAAAAAATGTACTGCTTGGGATCTAAATTTTTTAACACTTATCAGTAAAATGAGGCATTAAGATCGGAGATCTAATGACAAAAAAAGATGATATATTGGAATAAACCAGTGCTAAACAAAGATTAACCAATCATTAAAGGTCATATAAACATCTGTATTACTTAACACAATTTGAATTCATAGTTCAGATCCTTTTATTTAACAGAATTAAATACTTAAAGTGAAAAAAAAATGTAATGCCATATATATAGCTTCCTGGTGTAAGAGAGATATATAAAATTACTCATTACTTCTGTTTTGCCTACACTCAGTATCTAGCATTTTTATGTTTTGTATTGCTGTATGTTAATGTGTTTTCTTGTCCTTTTGAGTGTTTACAAATCATACTTACCCTACTTGTATCTCAAGGTGGCTGCAATAATGTAGCCCTCTCTAATTTTTTTTGGGGGGGGGGGGGGGGGGAAGGGGCCACAACTCCTTAGGATCTCTGTAATGGTGCAAGTGCGGGAGTGAATCACTCCCGCACTAATTTCGGCTCAAATTTTCAGTAAGTGGCTATTTTATTAATGTATCTTACCTGAACTCATAAAATGTAGTTAAGCAAGACATGAATTGATCCAAAAATATACAGAACAATCCATATATCGGTTATTTTTTGTGTATGTCAACATCAAAACTTGAATTTACCCTGGTATCCACCATGTTTACTCACCTGTTGATCGATTTTATTTTGGAACAACCAATGAGAATTCAGGATCTAGGGAGCGTATCTTTTAGGATGTCCCTTAATTTAAACATAAATATCGCTGTGTATGAAAAAAAATATCACATGGAATGCTTTTATTTATCAATGGTTAGTGATACCATACAACACAAAAATTTATCAACAACAACATTTACTTTATCAAGTGATTCTACTTTCAAATGCAAGTCTCAGTACATCATGTGAGAACTGTCATGGCTGCTGAGGAGAACAACTGGTAAACAAGCAGATTTATTTTACATGGTTTTTGCGTATAAAGGGCTATGTTGTTGACAGTGATTAACATTTCCGTCTTATTGGAAGTAAGTTGTATGTAAAAAAAATTTTTGCCTGCAGTCGGCCGTATCTAAAAAATATATTTGCACCATTACGGAGATGCAGTGGAATTGTAGCCCTCTCCTGAAAATATCAGATATAAAAAAAAGGACTACATTATTGCAGCTAGTATCTATGTTATGTCCCCAAAGGGACCATGAATGGCAAATAATTACCATTCTATTCTATTCAAAGTCCAGTCCAGAGGAATTACAGAGAGAGTGGGATATAACAACAAAATTCTATCTTGCCATAAAAAGTTTAAAGTATAATTAAATTTATTCAGAGAGGGAGATGTAAATCAAATAGCACTCTAATCCCCTCCCTCTTCCCCTTTCCTTCTTAAATAACATTTGTTACAAGTGAATCTTTTATAACTTATCACTTACAGGAAAGTCCACGACGTAGTCACTGAACCACCGGGGGCGCTGTCGAATTCTTGTAGATCGTCTTGGCTCCATTCTAATACTATAATAATAAAAACTTTATTACAAAACAAAGTTAATTTCCTTGAATTTCAATATACAGTAAAACACCTAATTAGCAAACACTTATTCCAATCACAACTTGAGAAAAAAATCCCTACATTTTTGTAACACTGTAGGCCAAGGAATTATAAAGAGAAACATATCAGAAACCCTTGGCTAGTGAAGATGTATACATTAGAAATGCAACATGAAAAGGAAATTGTATCTTGCTTCTTTGTTTAAAAGATTAAGATAAAAGAGTAATAGTAAGGTCAAGGTCACAATTAAGGTAGGTTACGGTCAGAAAATTATGACAGTTTTTAATAGCTCTCACAAATATATGTTTATAAAAGTATATGAAGTTTGATAAAAATATCTTCAATAGTTTCCTTGAAACTGATATTTAAATGCAACTAGTAAAGTCAAAGGTCACAAGGAAGGTCAAGGAAAGGTATTAAAAAAATTAACAGTTGACAAGTTTTCACAAATATCTAAAATTAAGAAAAATATAAGGGTCAAAGGAAAGGTCAAGGTCAAAATCTTTTTTTTGTTGAGTACCTCTCATCAATATGTGTCAGCATATGAAGTTTGACATACCCCTTTTTAGCTCACCTGAGCTGAAAGCTCAAGTGAGCTTTTCTGATCACATTTTGTCTGTAGTCCGTCCATCCGTCTAGCTGTCCGTCCATCTGTAAACTTTTCACATTTTTGACTTCTTCTCCAGAACCACTGGGCCAATTTCAACCAAACTTGCCACAAAGTATCCTTGGGTGAAGTGGATTCAAATTTGTTCAAATGAAGGGCCATGCCCTCATTCAAGGGGAGATAATTCAGAAATAGTGAAAATTTGGTGGCATATTTTAAAAATTTTCTCCAGAACCACTGGCCCAAAAAAGTTGAAACTTATAGGAAACCTTTATTATATAGTGTAGATTCAAGTTTGTTCAAATCATGACCCCTGGGGGTAGGGTGGGGCCACAATGGGGGATCAAAGTTTCCTATAGGAATATATAGGAAAATATCTTTAAAAATCTTCTTCTCAAGAACAGCAAAGCCATGATTGGTCATATTGATATGGAAGCATCCTCAGGTATTGTAGATTCAAGTTTGTTCAAATCATGACTCCCGGGGGTTGGGTGGGGTCACAATGGGGGATCAAAGTTTTACATTGAAATATATAGAAAAATATCTTTAAAAAATCTTCTTCTCAAGAACAGCAAAGCCATGATTTGTCATATTAATATGGAAGCATCCTCAGGTATTGTAGATTCAAGTTTTTTTTTCAAATCATGACCTCTGGGGTTAGGGTGGGGCCACAATGGGGGTTCAAAGTTTTACATAGGAATATATAGGAAAATACTTTAAAAAATATTCTTCTCAAGAACAGCAAAGCCTTGTCTAGTCATATTGATATGTAAGCATCCTCAGGTAGTATAGATTCAAATTTGTTCAAATTATGACCCCTGGGGGTAGGGTGGGGCCACAAGGGGGGATCAAAGTTTTACATAGAAATATAGGAAAAAACTTTAAAAATCTTCTTCTCAAGAACAACAAAGCCAAGTTTAGTCACGTTGATAAGGAAGCATTCTCAGATAATGTAGATTCAAGTTTGTTCGAATCATGACCCCCGGGGGTAGGGTGGGGTCATAATGAGGGATCAAAGTTTTACATAGGAATATAAAGGAAAAAAATCTTTCTATCAAGAACAGCAAAGCCATGTTTAGTCATATTGATATGGAAGCATCCTCGGGTAGTTTAAATTAAAGTTTATTCAAATGATTACCCCTGGGGGTAGGGAGGGACCACAATGGGGTGTCAAATTTTTACAAAGGAATATAAATATAGGAAAAAAATCTTTAAAAATATTCTTCTCAAGAACAGCAAAGCCATTTGTTATATTGATATGGAAGTATCCTCACATAGTTTAAAATTCAAGCTCCCCCCCCCCCCCCATCCCCGGTAAACTTTTCAATACTGAATTGATTTGTGCTTTTTCTTAGCCATTGTGCTTGAGCGATGTGGCCCATGGGCCTCTTGTTTCTAAGCATAACCATTTTCTGTTGAAAATATTTGAAAAGTTGGTTACTCTTATCCCACACTTTTTGTTTCAGTACAGTCAAACCAGGGCAATGTGTAATGTAATTTTCAAGTCTGGACAATTTCCTTCTTTTAATTTTGCTTTCCAGTTTTTTTTTCAAGTAAGTTATCATAATTTTTCATTCCCTCCCCCAAAATAGGTTTTTCATGTCTGGACAATTTTCCTTTTTTAATTTGTTGAAAATTTTAATTTTAAATTATTATTATTATTTTCATTGCTTTTCACAGTTTCATTAAATGAGTTTTCATATTTCTTCCTAGCTGCCCCCACCCTCCTGATACTACATGTGTCTGCATCTAAAAATGCAACTCTAGAATAATTATGCACGGCACTACATGGCCAATGATGACTTTTGTTATTATTTGTTATAAAACAAACATGTTTTGGACACCTGAAATTTATTTAGAATGGAAGAAGAAATTTACATCCCCCAAGAGCATGCATAGTCGACATTTCCCGCCATAATTGCACCTTTATTTAAACCGTATAAAGCACACAAAACTAATAAATAACTTTGTTATACCTTTAAAAATTAGTTTCTATATAAATCTATACTAAAAAAAGTCTGACATTTCAATGTTTTACTGAGCGGGCATAAAAAAATCGATGTTTGCCCACAGATCAAGATATTGGACCTGTCAGCAAGATATTGGACCGCTGTGGGGGGTATTTTACGTCACGCTTAATTTGCATTCGTTATTATCCGCAGTTTTGGCGGAATTATACGACACGAGTCCATTTGTATTCGACAGTTACGAAACTGACCAAGTTAAATCCGCATTGTGGATAATTGAAATTAACATTTAAATTTTGTCATCTGCATTGCAATCATGGAAGGAAATGGAAGGTTTGCTTCATATAATGACGAAGAAATTGAAAACATAATGGAAAACCGGGATAGCAGCAATACGAAAAATGTGGTGAAAGTGGCTGAAAGAATTTTGTCGGAATACCTAGCCCACAAGTACGAATCCACCGTTGAAATTTTTTTTAATGGAAAAAGCAGGAACGAAGCTGCCGAATTTCTAATTTTTTATTGTGAAGTTCGAAAAAGAGATGGTACAATATATGCGAGATCTACAATGATAGCAATGCGATTTGGATAACAGAGAGTTTTTCTAAAATCTTACAAGTGAGACATCATAAATGACAGTGATTTTAAAGGCGCTAACGACATGTTCAGTGCTTGTTTGGTGAAAATAAAGAAGGAAGGTATCCAAACAGAACATAAAACACTGATTTCTGATGCCAATATGAAAAAACTTTACTAATCTAATGTATTTGATACAACTACACCCAGAACTTTACAACAAAAGGTATTTTTTGAAATCATGATGTTTTTTTGCAATCGGGGACGAGAGAATCTACGCAATATGAAACCAACGGATTTCCAAATTCGTGCAGATTCGGAGGGGAGGAGATATGTCGGAAGCAACGTGTCCAGGCTTACTAAAAATCATTGTGAAGCTATAGAAGACCATGACAATACGGCTGCTAGAATGTACGAAAAACCCGGTAAGTTTTTTTTTTTAACTTGGGTTGGAACTGTATCAGAGGCCCCTATAATTCTTAACGGTAAATTTCAAATAAACTGATAAAACCTACCCACTCTTTATGAAAACATGTAAATATATAACTTGTGTTTTTGTACAAAAGGGGGGGGGGGGGGTAATCTAGGGCTTTTTTATAAAACAAAAAATCAGGTGCCTGTGACTTTATTCAACCACGTATATTTTCATTATAAAAACAGTTAATTGAGGCATTGTTTAATTACAGGTAATCCAGCATGTCTCGTCAGCAGTTTTGAGAAGTACATATCGAAGCTAAATCCAGCGTGTGAGACCTAAAAAAATGTGGCGGATCAAGCAGGAGTCTGGTATGACAACATGGTTGTGGGAAAAAATACCCTGGGCTGTATGATGGCGACAATAAGTAAAGATGCCAACTTATCTTTTGTTTATACGGCTAATTGTATTTGGCGCATCGGCGCGCTCGCGCAATAGATTTTGTTTATTAAATAAATTATCGCTTATACAATTCTGTTAGCATCGGGCGCGATATCATAAATAATCAAAGTACTGAGAAAAACAGAGAGCCGGGCCCATTTACATATGTACAGAGAAGTGAACAAGACCGTTTTACATGAAACATACATTGTAATTACAGATGAATAACAACTAGACACTGGAAGAATATGTAACACATAAAAATATATTTATGGTATATAGTATGAATAAAAAATGTTTAAGAAAAAATTAAATAAAATGCAGTTTGAATTTAACAGCGTAAACAATTTATCACATGCATCGTTTTGGGGTCTAACATCGCTTACAGAAGTAAATAAACATTGATGCAGCAAGGTCAAACATTTATACACAGACGGGTCCTTAGCGGGGAGTTTTGCATAAAGGTGTGCATCGGGTCACGTGCTCCCCGCATTAGTGTTAGCCTGGTAACAGAACCTTTATTTATAGAATGTGAAGCTGGCAGACTTGATGAAATTACCTTTCGCATTTTTTAGACAAATAATTCATTGAAGAAAAGGGGAGAAAGAGTATTACCATTATTTTCTTTTCTTTTTTTTTTTTTTTTTTTTTGGAGAATTTTTTAGTTAACTTAAATTTGTTTAATTAAGTGTTTGTATTGCTTCAAAGGTGGTTGAGCATACGTACTATATTCTTACTCGTATTTAATTTGGCGGTGAGGAAGCAGCATTTCCGGTTGAACACCGTAACATAAGCCGGCTATTGCTATACGAGCAATGAGCCCGGCTAAAAAGAGAAAGTTTCATAGATGGAATTATGTTTTTGAAGCTTCAACATCATTATTTAACTGCCTGTGGTTTCTTTTATTCATGGCCACTAATTAAGGTACTCCGATCCTCAGGTTCTGAAATT